TCCCGACCATTGGCCGGGTTATTTTTATAATTATTAATAATTCAAAAAAAATAATTAAATTATTTTTGGATTACTTGATAATTTGGATTGATGAAATTTATTTTTAAATATAAAATTTATGTTTAAATGACTCTAAATTTATCTAAATATTGATTCAATACCGAATTAATCGATAAAGTGAAAAGATAGAAAAATAGAAATAAATTATTAGTCATGTTTAATGACAACATAGTCTCAATCCTGTTATGATAATTAATATAATCGATGAAGTTTATCTTATTAGTTTTGCAATCAATATCATCAAATTTTATTTATTAGAAAATTTAAAGTATAATAAACACAATTTTTATAGGTTGTGTGTTTAAATTTTCTTCATTTGTTAAGAATCCATGTCAGCCAAGTTAGCAAACCTAATCTCGAGTGTTCTTTTCCAAGAACATCACCGCGGCAAAGAGTGCGACGATCTATGCTGCATTGGAGATCCCTGAAAGAAAAATGTCGGTCGCTACTTAGGCGTTCCAGTTATTCATGACAGGATATCCAAAGCTACATATATTGATTTGATCTAGAAAATCGATACACGTCTTACAGGTTTGAAGGAGACCATGTCTTTGGCGGCGTCAATCACGTTGGTTCAGTCGGTCCTCTCCTCACTAGTTTAATTAGTCGATTTATTAGTGAACAAGGAAAAATATTATCGAGACGGGTAACTAGGTTGACTTTAAAACAACAATGATTAAATACTATTGTTGTAAAACAAGCTCCTTAGGCCCCTTCCAGGTGTGAACGATTCTGTAGTTTCCCCATTCCATAGAGGAATTGCTTCTAGTTATATGAGCAAGCACACACACAGGATTACCCTTCAAGTGATATTGATTTTTTTTTTTTTTGGATAAGGGTGATATATGTTTTATTTTGTTGTCATTAAGGTACTACTTAAGGGATAAGAACCTAGGACCTCCAGGTTCTAGGCTAGTGGTATTACCACTAGGCGAAGCCCTTGTTCGTCCATGTCAGCCGTGATTTTCCACATCAGTTTTAACATTTTAATTTTGTAAACTCACTATTGATTATAACTAAATGAACGTATAAATAACATTACTTTGATTCGAAATGATGAAGGCAACATTACTATGATTAAAAATGGTGAAAGCTAATTTGAGAAAAGTTTATTATATATTGTATTGTTTTTGGACGACTTGATGATTTGGGTTGATGTAATTTACTTGTATTCATAAAATTTTATGTTTATATCATAAGATATTATGAGATGGCGAAGATAATCCCCGCGTCCATCAGCTTGATAATTTCGGCCCCGACCACTGCCTCTAGATTGGGAGACAACCTTGCTTGTGGATGGCTGATTGGCTTGCCCTCATTCTCCACAAGGATTCTGTGGGAACAGAAAGAAGGATTGATACCCTGATATCCTTGATCTTCCAGGCCATAGCATGGGCATGCTGCTTCAGTAGGGCCACCATGCTACTTTTCTGCTCAGGGGTCCGTTTCAAGCTGATGATGACTCGGAGCTTGTTCCCCTCCCAAATAAATGCATAATCCAGATGAGCGGGGAGGGGATTAAGCTCTAGCTCTGGTGGCTCCTCAAAAGATGTGGTGATCCAGAGTGAGGCGAAGATTCCTCTTGTTGGAGAGGAGGTCCTTCATGAATTTTGCATACTTAGGCATCTTCGACAACGCCTTTATGAAAGGCATGCTTATGTTCACCTGCTTCAACATTACCATGAACTTGGCAAACTCATTCTCCAGTCGATCTTTATGCATTCGAATAGGGAAGTGGAGTTGAGAGACATATCCCTTTACCACTAGTTGTGGCTTAGGAGCAAATACCTCTTTCTCTTTCTCCATTTCTTCTTCATTTACAGGAAGTGCTGAAGCATGCCTCTTTTTTTTTTTTTTTTTTTGCCTGGACATGAGTCCAAGTAGTCATCTTCCTGCTCCTGGTGGTAATGGCCTTGCAGTGGGCCTGCAAATCTATAGGATTTGGCGTGGTGTTGCACTTAAGGCACCCGGGACTCTGTGTGCAACAGATTGAGCCACACTCCCGATCTGGGTTTGGATGTCCTGCAAAATAGCATGTTGGTTCCTCTGCCCAGCTTCAAGGGTCCTTTTCCCAACTTCAAGTTTCATGAACTTTCCTGTTGCTAGTTCCATGAACTGGTCCATCTTGTTGAACTTATGGGCGCTGGAGTTGGCAAGGGCGCTCACTATATCTCTCAACTCAGCCATCAGATGAACCTTTGTTGGAATCAATGGGGCTACACCTGGATGCTGGAACTACCGCCGGTGTAGCAAGATCGTCTTAATACGAAAACTCTTCAAAAACGTACGTGGGAAGGAATGCAAATACTTCCTAATCAAGCAACATAAGCTTTGCCCCAAATTTTCGTAAAAGAAGACCCGAGGAAGAAAAAAGTGAACATCACATGAGAGACGAATTATTTTGTCCTTATGAAGTACATTTTGTGTATCATTGCAAGGTTCAAAGTTTCCAAGTGTAAGGGTTGACCTTGTAAGTTTCTTTTTATTCACTATCTAAGATCGGAAGTCACGTGACATCGTAGAGGCCTAGTGAGGAGAAGGATGTTGAGATTAGGTTTACTTGAGGACAAAAAAAAAAATTCATGTGTGGGGTTATTTGATGACACATAGAAATTTCTATTCTAGACCCACGTACTATGACACAAAGTGCATAAATTTCCTATCATTATCGTCATAATATCTTGAATTTGTGCTATGATTGCTTCAAGTGTGTTTTAGAAACCCTAGGATTGCTTTTATAAGATCGATACGTTTTTGGTAGCGTTCTGTGCACTTTCATGATAAAGCAGACTAGAGGACCACTTGGCAGCTCATGTAAGGAAAATGGAAGAAAAGACGAGAGGTCAAGAAAAGCTTGTTACTCTATCGGCAGAGCAACCCTCCTGGTTTAGAGTGACATCACCTATGAGTGAGAATCGGCGCCAGAAACGAAAGCCTTAGCCTAGTTTTCTCTATTTTCGGTGCCGATACCTGTGGGAATCTGGGGTCTTTGTTTCATTATCGTCCATTAGTTTGGGTAAATGCTTCGGCACAAGGTGGGATCTAACAAAATAAGAAATCAGCAGCTCGTATGCCACCGATCATCGAGGGAAGCATGGTTAGGAGACCTAGGGGGCCTGCATATGCAACTCCTTCCTTCTATAATCTCTCACTAGTCTAGTATCTTAGATTTAATTTTCTGCACCGCATACTCTTTAACTCTTACGTTCTGCAAAACCGGAGGTACCTCAACCTCATAAATTGCTCTCTTCTTCAATAGAATTGTATCTTGCTTTCGAAGTAAAGGGTTTTGCAAGTGAAACTAGGGAAATAAGATCCTAGCCTTAGGTCCAGGTAAATTGGCTTTGTTCTACAACGAATCAAGAACCCAGAGGGTGAGATGAAAATTTGATTTGGATCTCTATGCGAGGATTCAAAAAGCATAATAATTCATCACTATGATCAAGACCCAAGGTATCGAGGCGAGTTGAAGGAGGCTCTGCCAATTCCTTATATGATTAATCTAGCTCAAGTGGCACTCAAGATAGCCAGTACAGGGCCAAATGCGATGTTAGGAGCCGGAATACGAGACATCAGAGGAGTATTAAGATTTCATCCATCACTATCTACCTCATGGGTTTGTCAACGAACCTATAATTGCAATTGGATGCATCGGGAGATGATAAAGAAGTGGAGCTTTATCAAGAAAACAACAATTTAAGGGAGCCTAGCTGAGCCTAGCTCAATGACATAAAAGAGAGAGTGCTCCTTGAGAGGAAGCGGATGTCTGTCGTCAAACTTAATAACGTTAAACAAAACTGCTGCCAAGGAGACATCCCGAATTTATTTTTCCTAGTTATTTTTGAAATTTGACCGATATTTACCGAACTTGATCGAGACCAGTTTTATGTCAAGCTGGTAGGATATATATATATGACTCTGTCAGAAAACCAATTTTGTTTTACATTCTAGGTCCCGCTAGCTAGTACTCCAAACAAAGGAGCCTAATCTTCATTCTTAACAGAAGAGAACTGATTAATAGACACGTGGACAGCAGGCGTAGAAGCAGAAAGCCTGGCCTCATGTTCAAACTTGACATAGAAAAGGCCTTTGACAATGTGAATTGGGAGTGCTTGTTCAGAATTCTCAATATTATGGGGTTTCCGGAGAAATGGATCAGATGGGTGAAAGGCAGTATGTGTTCGTCGTTCATTTCCATACTTGTTAATGGGGAGGCAAAAGGTTTTTTCAAAGCTTCGAAGGGATTACGTCAAGGAGATCCCCTCTCTCCCGGATTGTTTGTTCTCGTTATGGACGTGCTATCTTGGATGCTTAAGTCGGTTAGAGATGCAGGTAAATTTGAAGGTTTTTGTATGGATGAAGCTAAGAAGTCCGGTGAGGTGACTCATTTGTTATTTGCTGACAATACGCTCATATTTTGCGACGCTCAGTATGAACAGGTGTTGTATGTTCTGGCTACTATTGTTTGCTTCCAATCGGTGACGGGACTCAGAATTAATCTCGACAAGTCTGTGATGTATACAGTTGGGGACGTGGCAGAACCTAGTTTCTTCGCTTCCATTTTCGGTTGTAAGTGGAGCAATGAACCCCCTAGATATCTTGGTTTACCTCTCGGTGGTAGACCAAACGAAGCTGCGATGTGGGACCAGGTGATTGATAAATGCCAGAATAAACTTAATGGGTGGAGAAGCAGGCATCTCTCTTATGGGGCGAAATTGGTTCTCTGCAAGGCAGTTCTGGGGAGTATGCCTACTTATCTATTTTCGCTGTTCAAAGCACCGACTTCAGTTATTAACGATCTGGAAAAAATTCAGAAGCGATTTCTGTGGAATGGGGCTAGGAATTCTAAAAGGATGGCTCTTGTGGATTGGAAAACGTGTAAAGCCGAGATTAATGCAGGTGGGTTGGGGTTTCACGATCTCAGGAGCTTCAATGAGGCTATGCTTGCTAATTGGTTGTGGAGATTCGCGGTTGAAAGAAGTAGCTGGTGGAGGATTTTGATCGAGATTAAATACCCAAACCCCCGTTCGATTTGGCAGACTGATCGGGCTCGTATGGGTTTCTCCCATTCTGTGTGGGCAAATATATCGAAGGCCTATGACTTTTTCTGGAAGTTTGCATCCATGGATCCGGGAAACGGCACCTCTATCTCCTTCTGGTACGATGTATGGGTTCCAGGGATGGTGTTGGCTTCAGCCTTTCCTCGTGTCGCCGCTGCTGCTGTTGACCCCAATGCTAGCCTCTCCGACGTGGCCTCGTTCGATGATGGGACGGTGAGATGGTCTATTACCCTTAAATATTCGTTGAGAGGGGGGGCTGAGAGGGAGAGAGTTCAATTGTTAAATTTTCTGCAAAATTGTGAGGGTTTTAAGCTTAATTCTAGTCCGTGTAGGATTATTTGGAATCCTGATTACAATTGCAAGTTTTCTGTGAGATCTTGTTACAAGCAGGTGTCTAAAGATTTTTTGGTCAGCGTCCAAGACTTCCCCGCCAAGCAGATTTGGAGGCCTGTGATTCCCTTGAAAGTGTGTTTCTTTATGTGGCTGGCTTGTCACAACAGGATCCTAACTATGGACAACTTAATGAAGCGGGGGTGGTCGTTGGCGAGTAGATGTATCCTCTGCTGTCGAGAGAATGAATCGGCGATGCACGTTTTGATGGAGTGTGACTTCACTAAAGATGTTTGGAGTTTCCTCAATAGGAATAGAGCGGAGCTGGGATTCAGAGGGAGCGATTCAAGCTCGGTGATCAAAAGTGTTACATTGTCCGAGCCTGTGAACGTCGATGGATGGTTTGCGAGCTGCATCCTACACGCTGTATGGTGGGGTGTTTGGATTGAGAGGAACCAACGGATATTTGAAGAGAAGGCGTCATGTGCTTCTGTGGTGGCTAAGAAAGCAGCAAGGCATTCTATGGAATGGCTGGTGGCGCACGGAAAAGTGGAGAAATCGCAGGGAGAGGGCTGGTTGAAAGATGCTATGCTTGCCATTTAATTGCCGAGGATTTGATTTTGTTCTGGTCCATCTTTCTCTGTTTGGTGGCAGGTTGCTTGGGGGTGATCAGCCGGGTGGTTCGGGTGTGTGCTGTTAGTTTTTATCTCAGTTCTGGGCGGTGATTTAGTTGAGTTCAGTGTTTATTTGTTTGTTTGGCCTCTGTTGGGGTACTTTTATATTCTGGTCAGCTTTGGTATTTCGGTTCAACAGCAGTGGTCGGGTCCACTGAGTTGGTTTTTTTTTTCTTGCTTTGGGGGGATTTATTCTCGTTTCCCCTGTTGTTTTCTCCTTTTGTTGTTTGGGCATTGGGTTCAGCGCTTGTGAACCAGGACCTCTTATGTTTCAGTTTCCTTTTTCCTTTCAATATATTTTCACCATTATAAAAATAAAAAAAAAATAAAAAAATCTTCATTCTTATTTGCGTGGAAGGGTGCTTAACCGAGTCCCACGTGGAAAGTGTTGGCCTAACCATCCATATGCCTTTTACGCAGCAGCATGCATTTGGGAATCCGTCTCTCTCCCTGACAGCTTCAAGGATGCCCGCCTCTGCCTTGAACATCACGTTAATCCCCTCAAACCACGCTTACAACGTAAACCAAACCTGTTCCTTGGCTACATTAAAACAAGACGGAAAAATAACATATATTATCCATCCATACCCTCTGCCATAGTCTCTCGCATCTTTCCCCATTAACAAGGCCGGCCGGCTAGCTAGCTGGTCGCTCTCATCAATATACGGGGGGAAAAGATAAAAAACGTCTCCGTACAAATATTTTCCGTCTGAAAAAAGATACAACTTATATACTAAATAAGGTACTGGGGGAATCATGGGGAGGAAGGAAATGTCGCCGGCCAGCAGGACTCATGAAGTAGAAGTTATAAGCAGCCCAAACAGTGTCAGCAGCTCACTCTATTACTCACCGTACAACGATCTTTTGCCCGCCGACGAAGATCATCGCGGTGGTGGTTCTGCTAACATGGCCGGCGCCAGGTTGGGTAGTCTGAAGGACGTTATGAAATCGCCTCCGTGGATGAGAGGTTATAGAGACCTCAAACTAGAAGAAGACGACTGCGGCGGCGCCGGTTCCCTTGCCGGGAAATCGCGAGGGTCCGATGAGAGCTTATTCTTCGGCGATGTTCAGCACGATCATCCCAAGTTTCTGCTCCAACTCAAGCGCCGTATTGACAGGTATATATATATACATATATTTTAGTATGCATTCTTCATCATTGAATTTTGACATTTGTACAAAATGGTAGCAAAATGATTTGTTTCGCTTATTTCCATCCAAATTCGCTTATTTCCATCCAAATTTTTTGTATAATGTGTCACGTGGACCCTTTCAAGTCATGCAACAAATTAACAAAAAGAGTATTAGTGTTATAGGTTTTTGTTTTTATAGTACAACTTGAAATAGTACCTTTAACGTTATGGTACAACTTCATATTGTACCCATACTTTTTGTACAAATTTTTTTATGGTACAACTTGAACTTGTACCTTTATGTCATGGTACAACCTCAAGTTGTAAAGTTGTACCATAACATAATGATACAAATTCCTTTATGGTATAATCTAAACTTATTCAATTAATATTATAGTACAACTTCAAGTTATACATTAAAGTACCAGTACTATATAGCATAGTAGTAGTGATCCACCGTACCCTACCTACTACCATAGTATCCAATTCCTTATGAGATGAGGATTTTGTCCTTGGGTCAGGAGTAAGTTCACTTATAGGTCTTGTGGGTTGGTTCAGGTGTTTAGGTGGAGAGCAGTTTGGTGTTTATTTATATATAAAAAAAAATTATAACTTCAAAACTAATGGAATTTCGAACGAATATGTGTGAAATCGATCGACCGTTTTGTTACAAGTTTCAGAACTGTGTATATTATTACAAAGAAATAACTGTGCGACCATTTTAAAAATATCAAAATTATATCACCATTTTGAATACTATAATTGGTTTACAAATTTATATTTTAATGAATATCATAATTCTTGGGTTTATATATATATACGTGAAGGGTTGGAATTGAGCTTCCAACTGTGGAGGTGCGGTTTGAAGGGCTAAGAGTGGAGGCAGAAGCACGGAAAGCAAGCAGAGCTTTGCCTTCACTCTACAACTTCACGGCTAATATGGTTGAGGTACTCTACATATATCTTTACATAATCTCAAATTAACTAAATGGTCATAAATGATTCACAAATTTGGCTTTACTTATTTCAGTTTTCTCTTTCAATTTGAAGGATTTGTTAAGCTGTATTCACATCCAGGAAAGTAGAAAGAAACAGGTGTGCATCCTCAAGGACTTGACTGGAATCCTAAAGCCCTCCAGGTGAGATAATATATAATAAGCTCACAGGACAACAACAAAAAAATACTAAAATAAAAATGGTCTCTTATGAACTAATAAGAATATATGAAAAGTTTAGCCTATTATATTGAATTGTATGTCCTACATTTTATAGTCATTGGTACTCGTATAGCTTATTTCAATTATTAATACGTTAATTTTACGACTAGAATTGTGATATCGATGTACAATCTAAAGACATTCCGCATAAGAATATTAACCGAATTGTAACGTATAACAGAATGACATTGCTGCTTGGGCCGCCTAGCTCAGGGAAGACAACGTTTTTAACTGCCTTGGCAGGGCAATTGGATCCAAGTTTAAAGGTTGGTGACAAACATATATTAGGCTCTGTCATTTTTATTATTATTATTATGGTTCATTTTTTTGCTGTTGTTGTTAAAAAAAGTTGGGAGTTGGGCGTAGGTATCTGGTGAGGTGACCTTCAATGGACATAGAATGGACGAATTCGTAGCTCAAAGAACAGCAGCTTATGTTGGGCAGCACGATCAGCACATCGGAGAAATGACTGTCAGGGAAACTCTTGCTTTCTCTGCTAGATGCCAGGGCTCCCAATTTCTCTCAGGTGAGAATAATTCAACATTTATCCAAATATATTAAATATGCAAGTCATTCAACAAGCTAAGTTATTCAGCTCACTCGAACATTAATTGAAGCTAAAAGCCCACTTTTGAAACTTGTTTTCTATGATTTTTCTTTCATGCGTTGCAGAGGTGGCAAAAGAGGTGTTGAAGAGGGAGTCGGAACGGAACATTAAGGTTGATGTTGATCACAATGTTGATATCTTCCTGAAGGTGAGGGGAGGTTCAACATAAGGTCAAAAAATTTGTAAATATAAATCCTGTATTACTTTTTTACCGTCTCATTCGATGTACGTATATCTAGTTCCTCCAGCTACGTACTAACAACGTTACATCTTTTATATGATTCCTAATTCAATTTTTATATTTTGTTCTTTCCACAAGTGGATGTGTAAAATGTGCAACTCAAATCTTTATGCATTAAATAAATAAGTTTTTTTTTTTTTTTGTGTGTGTGTCAGGCAATGGCAAGTGAAGGTGGACAGAAGTTAGACATCCTTACAGAGTACGTTACAAAGGTACATGATCATGCCACAACCTTTTTGCTTGGTGCTCTTTGGATATGACATGTACGAGCTCTGATTTAATCGTTGATGGACGATAGTAGATTCTTGGACTAGACCAATGTGCAGATACCATCGTCGGGAATGAAATGCGACGGGGCATCTCCGGCGGCCAAAAGAAACGTCTCACCATCGGTACGACATTTACTTTTTCAACTATATATTAGTAATGCAGTCAAAATAAGATTTTGATCGTAAAATCGAGGATTTTAGGATTTTATTTAGGAATGTCAATCCTGATTTTACTATAAAATCGGTGGACCTTAAAATCGTTTAAAATCGGGAATAAAATCGTACCAAAATCAGGATTTTGTTCGTATGAGAAAAAAGTAGGTGGTTTGAGCCAATTTTAACCGAAGCATAACTGTTTCGGCGGAAAGGGCAATGACTGGAATTTTCTCAGATAAATTTTCTATTATAACAAATTTAAAAATAACCAAATTAGTGCTCGTTCAATCCCTTCGCCCCATTAACTTATTGGTAAAAAATTTATCTTAATATTGGAAGTACGTAAGAATTAAGATCATTATTAACTAATTAATTTATTAATGAATATATTTATACCAAGCGACTAGCATTACTTATTTTATTGGAGTTCAAATATTTTAGTTTTAAATCATACTTAGACGATGTCAGAATATTACTTTGAGTTAAACTATCTATACACCACATGAAAACAAGATATAAACCCATTTAGCTTTATCTCTTCCTCATGAATTATTTTGAGTTATGAATTAACTAACAATTAAAATAGTGATTTTAGAACATTAATCTTGAGAATTATCTTTTGTAAAAAAATTTAGAGAATTATCATTTTAAATGTTACATGTCTTTGTGTTATTAGTAATTTACCTTATTAATATTATTATAGGTGTTGTTCTATATGGTACTTAAAATCCTACGATTTTACAATTGCGATTTTACTCCAGTTTTTTATTTTAGGTAAAATCCGATTTTGACTGCTGTGTATATTAATTCGGCTTTGAAAGACCCCAAAAATGTCTTAAAGTTCTACAAAAAATTGTCTTAAAGCAAACACCATCTCCCAAAAAAAAAAGAACTCTAACGTAAACGAGTCAAGATCCAAGATAAAAAGTTTGAGTAATCGAGCTATACTTTGTGACCTAGAGATAAAGCAAAACCCTTTCAATATACGGAGTGATAGCTGATAAACATAGCACACAATGAGTCATTAGATGAGCTACCATATTGCGAACATGAAAAAAAAATTGACATAAAAAGTAGCTGATGAATCCAATAAATCACGAAGTTGTAAACAGCACAAAAGGAGAATTTACTTATCATGTCCCTAAAGAAGCCACTCAGTCTTAGTCTCTTAGAGCATGTTCTTGTACTCCACTACTCTATCTCTAAGTGCAATAATTTTCATAAAAATGGATCAAAGATGTCCTTAATTATATTGCCTTCAAATCAACTTTTAGAAACCAAAATTGATTTTTGTGTTAAGCCATTGGGACCCTATTGTTATTGTAGGAGAGATGCTAGTTGGGCCGGCAAGGGTGTTGTTGATGGATGAAATATCAAATGGGCTAGACACATCCACCACTTTCCAGATCGTCAACTCCATAAAACACACCACCCACATTCTCAATGGAACTTCGGTTGTCTCCCTCCTCCAGCCGGCACCGGAGACGTACGAACTCTTCGACGACATCATTCTCTTCTCCGATGGCCACATTGTCTACCAGGGTCCCCGTGAAGATATTCTCCAATTCTTTCGCCACATGGGTTTCACTTGCCCTGAGAGAAAAGCAATCGCTGATTTCTTGCAAGAAGTAATTAAGCTCCCCAGTTTAATATACTGTTTTTTTTTTAGTTTATAGTTTTTGTGAAATGTAACAAATTGAATTTTTTTTTTAAATTTTAGGTTATTTCTAGAAATGACCAGCAACAGTATTGGGCTCACGAGGACCAACCTTACCGTTTCATCACGGTTAAGGAATTCTCCGATGCATTTCTATCATCATTTCATGTTGGGAAGAGGATGAAAGAGGAGATGTCCATCCCATTTGAAAAGGATATGAGCAATCCATTTGCATTGGCCACCAATAAATATGGGACTACCAAGATGGAGCTTCTTAAGGCTTGTATGGCAAGGGAGTTCTTGCTTATGAAGAGAAATTCAATTGTCCACATCTTCAAGCTCCTACAAGTGAGTATCAACTATTAAGAGATATAAATTATCAAAAAATAATCAACATATATGTGTACTTGTTTGTTGACTTGACATGAAGTGAAATTCTCATTTGATGTTGCAATTAATTAAACCAGCTTGCACTCATGGGAATTGTGCTAATGACACTCTTTTTTCGATCTGGGATGACCCGCAACTCGGTCCTTGATGGAATGGTTTACATGGGAGCCTTGTTCTTCATTGTGATCATGATCATCTTCAATGGTATGGCAGAGCAATCCTTGAACATAGCTAAACTACCTATCTTCTACAAGCAAAGAAACTATTTGTTCTATCCTCCTTGGGCGTTTTCTCTGCCTCCGTGCATCCTGCAAATCCCCACTGCAATCTTAGAAGCTGCAGTTTGGGTCTTCATCACTTATTTCATGATTGGATTTGATCCTGAGCTTTCAAGGTACCTAAAGAGCTTATAATCCTCATTACTAAACATAAAAATTTCGTCTAGCGCGCATTCATAGAATTGATTTGGTTATTTTTCTCACAGGTTCTTCAAGCAATTTTTTCTACTCATACTCGTGAGCAAGATGTCTAATGCACTATTCCGAATGATGTCAGGACTAGGGAGGACAGCAGTCCTAACAAATTTACTTGCAGGATTTACTCTTCTCACACTTCTAGCTTTGAGTGGCTTTGTCATGTCCAGAGGTTCTGTTGGAACACTTATTCGTTATAGTTTATTTCGCAATTACTAGAACTCGTAAATATAATGTCTTATTTCAATATTCAAAAATTAATCTGTGTTTGGAATTTTTTGTCTATTGATTTTGCAGAGAATATTAACAAATTTTGGATATGGGGTTACTGGGCATCTCCGTTCATGTATGCACAAAATGCAGTAGTGGTGAATGAGTTCCTTGGAAAGAGCTGGAGCCATGTAATCATACTAAAAAAAAATAGTTTGTTCTCATTTTGGCATTAAAATCTATAATTTCAAACCCAACTGAAAACTCTTTTCATGCCTTTTATGTCATCAAACCAAACAGGTTCCTCCTGGGTCGATAGTTCCATTGGGAGTTCAAGTTTTAAAGTCCCGCGGTTTCTTCACAAATGAGTATTGGTACTGGATAGGAATCGGGGGATTGCTTGGATACATAGTGTTGTTCAACCTCGGATATACTCTGTCTCTCATGTTTCTAAACCGTAAGCCCATTGTGTCTCAATGTTGTGCCATCTTATTCTAACTCTCTCAATTTCTTGATTTTTGCACAATTCATGTGTGACATGACATGGGTGCGTGCAGCCTTGGATAAGCCTCAAGCTATTTCTCCTGACGAGGAGATTCACATTGATAAACCATGTCGCACAAATCTCATAATGATGACTTCGGGTTAGTATATTGGAGAACTTGTGCATATAAACTAGTTTAGCTAGAAGTAATAATTATTTGATGATACAACTGTGAATTGACTAGATCAAGAGAATAAAGGGAGTAATCCAAACATATTTGAATTTGAAGCCTCATCTACAAGAATGAACTCCACTTCACAAGACAAACCGAAAGACAAAGTGAAAAAGAAGAGCATAAAGGGAATGGTTCTTCCATTTCAGCCTCATTTCATCACCTTTGATGACATTACATACTCAGTTGACATGCCAAAGGTATCATAATACTCGCAGACATCTAAATGCTAAATTTTAGTTCTAGTATTATGGTGTGTATTGATATATTAGTGTTTCAAATTATGTAGGAAATGAAAGTTCATGGTGCCCCAGAGAAGAAATTGATTCTTCTAAATAGTTTGAGTGGCAGTTTTAGACCTGGTGTGCTGACGGCTCTAATGGGTGTAACGGGGGCAGGGAAAACTACCCTTTTGGATGTGTTGGCTGGTAGAAAAACTGCTGGCTACATTCATGGGACTATCACCATTTCGGGATACCCAAAAAAGCAACATACTTTTGCAAGAATTGCAGGATATTGTGAGCAAAACGACATTCATTCTCCTTTAGTTACAGTCTATGAGTCTCTGGTTTATTCAGCTTGGCTACGACTACCCAATGAGGTCGACATGGAGACTAGAACGGTATGGAGATATACAAAGACTCTTACTTACTTGTGGTTCATGATAGATCTCATGTGGAAATATTATACTTATTGACTTCCTTTTTGACACTATAGATGTTTGTCGAAGAAGTGATGGGGCTTGTAGAGCTAAATAACCTAAGAAACTCAATTGTTGGGTTACCTGGTGTTAATGGCTTGTCAATTGAGCAGCGCAAACGGCTCACAATTGCAGTTGAACTGGTAGCGAATCCATCAATTATATTCATGGATGAGCCAACCTCAGGATTAGATGCTAGAGCTGCAGCAATTGTCATGAGAACAGTAAGGAATACAGTTGACACTGGAAGGACTGTGGTGTGTACCATCCACCAACCAAGTGTTGACATATTTGAGTCATTTGACGAGGTAATATATATGGTTTTCTAATGTTTATTTGAGTCAGTTTGAGGGAAATTTTGCCAAGCTTTATGTCATTTTAATTTACCCTTGATAATGATACATTTGTGAATTGCAGTTGTTCCTATTGAAAAGAGGAGGACGAGAGATATATGTTGGACCATTAGGCTATAATTCATGTCATCTAATCCAATATTTTGAGGTAACAAATCTTTGTGAAAGTAAAAAAATATGGATATCTCTCTCAGTTTCTATATTCCTCTGCTTAGAGACTTTTTCAAATTCGAAAAAAAATATTATAGATAGTTTGTATTCTTGCATCCTTCCATATTATGACGAAGAAAACTCTTGACTTGAACAAAACTGAGAATAAAAGAATGTCTACTAGCATAATTAGTTCCTCTCCTTCTTTTTTTGTATCACCTTGTTTTACAGTGAACTCATATAACTTTTGTTTTCTTAGAGAATTCGAGGAGTCCGAAAAATAAAACCAGGGTGCAACCCAGCTACTTGGATGTTGGAAATCACAACAGCTACAAAGGAGACAGAGTTGGAAATTGATTTTGCTTCTATCTACAGGAACTCCAATTTGTACAAGTAAGGCAAATGAAAACCATCCGAAAATATTCAATATATTGTTCTTGAACCAATATGTTGAAACTTGCATTTCTACTTTTTTGTTTCGATTTCTCAGGGAAAACAAAGGAACCATTCGGCAACTAAGCAAACCAGCTCCTGGTTCAATAGACCTCAACTTTCCGACAAAGTTCTCCACCTCGCTTTTCACTCAAGCTATAGCATGTTTATGGAAGCAGCACAAATCGTACTGGAGGAACCTGACTTACACCGGTGCAAGACTTTTCTTCACAACTACTATAGCCTTGATGTTTGGGACTATGTTCTTGAACCTCGGGAAGAACACGTATGTACTGATAAAAGACTAGTAGAAGGTTATGCCTTTTGAAGATATTTCTAACTCTCTGATGATGTCCTTCTCACAGGACAAAAGAACAAGATCTTTTCAACGCATTTGGTTCAATGTTTGGCTCAGTGTTCTTCATTGGCGTCCAGAATGCATTGTCAGTGCAACCCGTCATAGATGTTGAAAGAAGTGTTTACTACAGAGAAAAGGCTGTAGGGATGTATGCGTCATTCCCATTTGCAGCATCACAGGTACTAAATTGCCCATGTAATGTGGAACAATGTGAAATTTCCATTATTAAACTAGCTCTGCAATTCACTAACTAGTAATGCCCTTCTTGACAGGTTTTGATTGAGATCCCATATGTGTTTGTGCAAGCAGTTATGTACAGTGCCATAGTGTATCCATTGATTGGATACGATCTTAACCCACATAAATACCTTTGGTTTTTCTGCGTAATGTTTTTCACTTTGCTATACTTCACCTTCTACGGGATCATGAATTTGGCCCTGACCCCAAATCAACATATTGCCTACGTAACATCGGGTGCATTTTTTGGGGTATGGAATTTGTTCTCTGGATTCGTCATCCCCAAGACTGTAAGCATCTTGATTCAAGTACTAATAATAATTTTCTTCATCATTTTCATATATGGAGCATTGGTTAACATGTTATTGATGTGAACAGAGGATTCCAACATGGTGGAGATGGTATTATTGGGCAAACCCAGTAGCATGGACCTTGAATGGGCTGTTGACATCCCAGTATGGAGATGAAGAGACTAGGCTTGAGATGAGTGGTCTCACCATAAAAGAGTTTCTGAAATTATACTATGATTTTGAAAGCGATCGTCTACGAGTGGTGGTCACTGTGATTATTGGGTTTGGCGTGTTGTTTGCTTTTGTATTCGCTGTTTCCATCAAACTCTTAAATTTTCAGAAAAGATAGTTCTCGCCATACATCCTTTTTGGTTTCATCTATTGTGTCTTTCTTTGTATAGTAGCTTAACTAATTAAACATCATATAGTTTCTTGCTCATATAACAACATATTTTCGTAGTTTAACTAGCTTGGAGTGTACTAAAGGATTGTTTTTCCTATCTTATATATGTATTTAGTGACGATTTATCTATAACTTTAAAAGATCATAGGATGCATGATGTGTGAGGTATTTGGATATGCGAATTTGTATACAAACAATTTAAATATAAAGTACCGTCTACTTAGATAATATGTAAAGTTACATTAGAAATATGTTCAAGTACATTGGTGCATTTCAAATGCATATTAGTGTGTTTTACTAGTGAACTAAAATTCTTATCAACAAACACATATTTGAAATTCACCATACCTTCTAATAAGGACTGACTTATGCAATTTTAGAAGCTGAGTTACTGTAATTTTTATATATGTACTAATTTGTAACTTTGCAATATAAATTCTTGGGACTAGTTTGTTTAATAATCTTTAAAATTTAATGTTATAAAGAGGCATGAAATTGGATAGAAAATCCCGAATCCTTAGATTGAAACTTTACACAATGCAAACTGAATAGGTTTGCAACCCACTTTTTAAGTTGGATTTCGATTAGTACCATATCCAATAGGGCAAAGGACGTGTTGGTACTCATGAACATAAGAACAAAACTACAACATTGTCCATATATATCAAATACAGTTTTTTTAGATTGATTGTCTTCATGTCTTTTATGTCAATATATCAAATACAGTTTTTTGCCCGAAACCCTACAGTAGTTGTCGATTTAATTTGACACCGCCTTTCTTTTCCTTGATTGTCGAAATCTCAAAACTCTCCACCTCCCGCCTCTTTTTCGCCAAGCCTTCAAGTTCATAGAAGGAAAATTTTCCGATTTAGGGTTTTGTTTCAATAGACTCCACCTTCAATTGATTTGAGGGTTTGTGGTTCTGCTTTTGATTCTGGAATCTAGATTAGTTTGACTGATTGCTTACTCATTACCGCCACCCTATGCTTACCAACTCTCTCTTCTGTGTCCTCGTCCTGTGCTTACCCAAATGGATTGTATTAACATACTTTAGTTGTTTTTTACTAAATTAATTATTAATAAAAACGTAGTATATCTATCTTATTTTCCAATCCACTTTTTCATTTCTACTCTTTCTTTCACTTTCTTCTATAAAACAACATTTTCTTCTACCATTTTCCTCCCTCAAAATTCATCTCACCCTTTCATTTTCCTTTCTCTCATCGAAACAAAGAATTAATTTCTTCCGTCATCACATTCTACAACGTAGACTACACATGTACTGCATAACATGAAACTAGGTACGTATTATGTTAATATATATATATATATAAACATTCACAAATATAAATATGTTTATATATATATATATAAAAAAATATTAAATATATTGTCCAGATAGTAAAAAGAAGGGTTAATATATTTGTATGGCCTGAACATTGACCAAAATAAACATTCTGGCCAATATTTTCGATCTATAACATCCTGGCCCAAACTATACATCAAAATAACGAAATTGGCCAAACCCGATGTTTGACCGTTAACTTGGACGGTCAAACGATTTGACTAATGGTCAACGCGCCACGTCACTGCCAACACAGCAATTTTCAATCAAAAAATTTATAATTTTCACCGATTATCATTTTAATTTTTAATTTTTGAACAAAAAAAGAAGAAGAAGAATGGGACCAGGTGCTTACCCTACCGCCCACAATTCTGCTCTCCTGCCTCACTTCGTCTCCTTCTTCTCTGCTGTCAAGCCTTCCATCCCTTTTGCCATTGATGTCGGCATCAGGAGCTAGATGCCATTTGAATAATCCTTTGTTATAAACGCGCTGCTACGGATCGGGAAATTGTCGGAATCGATAAAGCAAGAATACGAAAGCGAGAATCGAAAAACACAGACACACGATTTGCGTGGTTCACTAACACGATGCGTGTTAGCTACGTCCACGGGCGAGAGAGAGCCAGTTTCACTATATCGAGGAGATTACAGATTACAGAGGAGTATGAGAAGTATTTATAGTACTTCTCCATGTGGGTCTAAACCTAATCCAATATGGCAAAGGAAACGGTTACAGACCAGGCCCAGAACCCGAACCCAAATAACATTGAGCCCATACATCGTGGGCCGGTCAGCGAGACCCCCGATTACCAGTCGTAGCGGCTGATAGTCCGATTCAAGTCACATCAACAAATCTCCACCTTGACTTGAATCCTCTTCCTCTGAAATCTCTGATGTACTCTGCTCCTTCTATCTCTCTCCCGCCATCAATGCCCTGCAGGGCGGAGTCACCCACTCAAGACATTCAGCAAGTCCAAGCAGTGTTGGAACTTGCCATGTGGAACCGGCTTCGTGAACATATGAGCAGGATTATCCTCGGTGCCAACCTTCTTCACCTTAATCCTCTTCTCTGTCCTCCAGAAATGATACCTCACGTCGATGTGCTTAGTCCTCTCATGGTGGACTTGATCCTTGGCCAAGCATATTGCACTCAAACTGTCGCAATACACCACTGCCTGATCATGATGTAGACCCAGATCACCAACCAGTCCCTTCAACCATATTCCTTCCTTAGCAGCTTCTGTCAACGCCATATACTCTGCCTCAGTAGTAGACAATGTCACCGCCGACTGCAAAGTTGCCTTCCAGCTCACTACAGAACTCCCAAGAGTGAATATATAACATCAAGCCATGGATGTATAGAGTTGGCCATGGAGCCAAAACCAGAAGAACCCATGATAATAACGACGACAGGCGTCGTAATGAGGAAACAGAGTAATAGGGCTCTGTATTTGGATATACCATCTTTTTGTAATTAGAAAATAACAAACGAAGATGTGCCCATATGCCTTTAGCATAAATAGTTTATCGGCATACGATCTGAGATTATTGTTTATTCTAAAACAGATAATAAAATAAGAACGGCTTCAAGAGATGGGAAGATAATGCTTAGCTTTACTTGTTCCAAGGAAAGAGCAGAGAGCATCCTTGGAGGTGCAGCCACTCAGAAGCTGGGAGTCGATAGAGGAGAGAGGAAGAATCACTTCCACCACTAATTGGCAGTAAGGCAACCAATTAGCTGTGAAAGATTAGTTGGCTTTGAGGGAGAGAGAAGCGAGACATCCTGCATCGTTTTGGCCGTCTATTTATGACGCCCAATGAACTGAATAAGACAAATTAATTAGTTTGGAGGACTGAATCGTAAGGCACAAAATGTTCAAGGATGAGAGAATCTCCGCTCAGCCGAAAATGGTAATTTGCACTTGCGATCCCCGGAAAGTTATATTTGTTAACTAGTAGATTCTCGTATCTGTTTGAAATTGGTTGCGTCTCTTGGTAGCTGTCCAAACAGCCATATAAAGCCCGATCCCCAACCATTTAAGCAGTCAACAGTAAAATTTACAGCTTCATTCATCCGCGGAGTCCACCTTCCATTCGCCGTCGCCGTCACTCTCTTTCCCTCCGCCGGCGAATTTTGTTTCTTCTCCTTCCTTTTCTATATATCAACAGGTAATTCTTCTTCAGGACTTCAAGTTTCTCCCAACTCTCCCTCTCCCTCTCCCTCTCCCCCCTCTCATCTCTGTATTCACTACTGAAATTCCGCTCTGTAGAAATGGCGGTCACGATGAAGCTGATGTCCCTGCTAGTCGCGGCGCTCGGCGCGCTTTCCTTCTTGTTCGGCGTCATTGCCGAGAACAAGAAGGTATGTATCTTCTTCCAACCGGTCCATCTCTCTTTCTTTTTATGGCTTATTTGGTTCTGGTTGAGGAGGTCTGTTGCTCTCCATGGATTTGGTCCATTGATTTGAGATTAAAAAAAAAAATTGCAATTACGCAGCCGGCTGCCGGGATTCCGATCACAGGGAAGGGTGTGGTGATCTGCAAGTACCCGGCGGATGCGACGGTGGTTTTGGGATTCCTGTCGGTCGCGTTTCTGATTGCGTCGACGGTGGCTGGATATTTCTCCCTGTTTTACCCTTACAAGGGGAAGTCCGTCCCTCAATCTGCCATGTTCCGCAGCACCAGTTTTCTCATCTTCTTCAACATTGCCCTGTAAGCTCCCCCTTTTCACTCTGATTCATTGAACCCTTCCCCATTGCTCTTCTATACTTTGAGCTGTTAACTTATAGAATGAATTCCATAGCTATGTGATTCTGCTGTAACTTAGATCAGTGATTGTGAGATTAAAAAAAAAAAAATTTGCCTATGTTAATGTTCTTGCTTACGATGGTTTCCCACTAGAACCTGGCCATGTGCAGAAGGATAACGATATGGCGGTCAAGTTGTGGGCTTTGCTTGTCTTCTACTTTCCTCATTACTTAACTATGCTTTAAATTATCATACACACACTCAACTTGCTGCATTAGAAGTCTTTTATTTGGACAGTTGACTTGTCTACGTTCGTCTACTTTGGTGGATCTGTGCAGATTTTTTTCTTCTTGTTCCCACTTGGGACGACCTCTTTTATTAATTTCTATGGAGTCTAGAAGTTCCCTCCTTCCAGGGATTCGCATGATATTGCGCTTCTCGCTTCTGTTTCCCTGAGACCAGAGCTGCAACTCATATGTTCTTAGTTAAGTTTGCTAGTTCACCAATTGGATTGGTGAGTTAAAAAGAGGTGTGTGTGAATGTATTTGGCAGGTTCACTGGTGGTTTAGCTGCAGCATTGCTGTTGTGGCCAACAATCACGGAACAACTCCACCTGTCGCGCAACGTTCATCACAACATGGAGACTGCGTGCCCAACTGCTAAGACGGGTCTCCTGGGAGGTGGCGCATTTGTCTCTCTTGATTCGGCCCTCTTCTGGTTGGTTGCACTCATGTTGGCTGCCAATGTTCGAGAAGACTACTTCGATGAAATGGAAAGCAAGTTAGCCGTAGACGATAGTGCAGCTGCTGATTATGTCGAACCATCAGTGCTCAAGGGCTCTGCCTAGCGGCAGCCTTGGGGTATCTGCTAGGGTTGAACTACTTTTAAGTTCGGATATACATTCCATAAGGCCTTCCAAATTATCAATTCATCGTCTTTGCGGGAGCAAGCGTAGAACAATCTGGAGCTTGCTTAATGTAAATATGGCTTGTGATTGCTGGAAGAAGACTCTCATTTACTCTATTAATTGGTATGGTTGTTTGTGTATATTGTTATATAGATCATTTCTGGATGGAACTATGAGCTACGTAACTCAACCCAGCGCTTATGGTTGCCAAATGGTGTCCGTTCGATGTTACCCAACCATTCGGTTTTCAATGGTTGACTCGGGACTCAGAAGGCAAATTCCAGGTTGTATCTACTCTAGTTTGCAATGAAGAGTTTTGCCCATTGGTTCAACTTACTAAATCTTCCTGTAAAAATATAGCAAACTGAAAAGCCTTTAGGAATATCCCGTAAAAGATTAGTATCTTGATGTATATCACAACTCCAAATTAAGAATCCTGACCTAAGGGCAAGTCCATGATGTAGAATCTTGACCTAAGGCAAGTCCATGTAGCAATAGATACTGCAGTCTGCATATGAATATAACAGAGATGATATTATTGAAGCAAAACCATTTTACAACATCATATTTCACATGGATTAATGAACTAATACACTCAATACTCTTTGTTTATATGACATTAGCAGCCAATTAGAAACCACCTAAAACTTACAACAACAACAAAAATGGCAAAGTAGATGTAATGGGTCTGAGCTATCACTCTTTCCTTGGCTATGAAAGTCTATCTATCTTCTCTGGAAGTTGAAAGACTTGATGGAGATGGCAAAGATGAAGGCGAAGACAGCTACCAATCCAACCATGACTCCAGCAATGACTCCCAAGAAATCATGCTTGAAACCGAAGTAGCTCCTCAAGAAATCCTCCACAGCTTCCCCTGTTTCCTCCATTGGGCTCCTCACATCTCCATACTGCGACACAATCAAACCGTATAGTGTCCACGAGATCGGGTTCAACCAGTAGTTCCACCTCCACCACACTGGGATAGTCTGCACATAATGAAAGATATTCATTAATTAGTTTTTCTTATAGTTCATTCCCTTAATGATAATAGTAATGAAGAGATAGAAATCAAAACAATGAATGTAAGATGGATGACTTACAGGTCTAGGGACAATGAATCCGGCGAAGAGATTCCAGATGGAGTAGAAGAAAGACGAGATGATGGAGGCAATATGGTGATTTGGCGTGATGGCGACGGTCATCATCCCGTAGTAAGTGAAGTAGAGGAGTGTGAAGTACATGAAGAAGATGTACCACATGAACTTCTTCGCGTCCCATTCGAATCCAATCATGGCATATGTGATCACTCCATACACCAAAGCCTGGGCCAGAATGTAAGGGATCTCTATAATCACTTGGGCGTAGGCATAAGGCAAGGCAGAGTACATCCCTGCTGCTCTCTCCCTGTAGAACACAGTTCTTTCAATGGCTACCACAGGCTGCACCGAGGATGCATTTTGGACACCAAGGAACAACACTGCTGCAAACATTGCTCCCATTGCGTTGAACAGGTCTTGGTTCCTCGATGTTTTGCCACCAAGATCCCAGAACATGGTTCCGAACATGAGGGCAATGAAGGTTGTGAACAAGAACCTGACAGCTGTGTATGGCGGGTTACGCCAGTAGGACCAGTGCTGCTTCCACAGGCAAGCCATGCATTGTGTCAAGAAGGGTTGTGAGTATTGTGTTGGGAAGTAGAGTTCTTTGGCTCCTGGGGCTGCCTTGCTTAAGTCCTTGATCAGGGCCTTATTTCTCTTGTAGAGGTCCGAGTTTCGGTATACATCTGTGAAATCTACTCCTAGGGCTATCTCTTGTGCTGTGGTGGTCACCTCCAACATCCATGTTGCAGGGTTGTACCCATCTTTGATCTTGCTCACTCCTTCGATCTCCTCGAAGTATTTCACCAAATGGGTAGAGTGGCGGCCAAGAGGACCGACGTATATCTCTTGTCCTCCTCTCTTCAACAGGAATAACTGCAAATAAACATTTAAGAAACAAACTATGTCAAATACTGTTTCTAGTTTCCTAGATTCTGATAATTTATGCTTACTGATAAACAATAATTTACCTCATCAAAAGCTTCAAAGATATCAATGCTGGGCTGATGGATGGTGCACACCACAGTTCTACCAGTGTCCACGGTGTTTCTCACTGTTCTCATGACAATGGCAGCAGCTCTAGCATCCAATCCTGACGTTGGCTCATCCATGAAGATGATGGATGGATTTGCCACCAATTCCACTGCAATTGTTAACCTCTTGCGTTGCTCGGTAGTCAATCCACTCACACCCGGGAGTCCAACAAGAGAGTTACGCAAGGGGTTTAGCTCTACGAGATCCATCACTTCTTCGACAAACATCTGTCATATATACAAATGCAAGTTAGAAATTCAGATTGATGTATTGCCTATATACAAACCAATCAAAAGTAGACACGAACTTTGTTAAGGTAGCTGTAGTTTAGGATGGGAAACTTACCATTCTAGTCTTTTCATCAACTTCTTGGGGTAAACGCAACCAAGCTGAGTAGACTAGAGACTCATACACTGTCACTTGTGGAGAATGAATGTCGTTCTGCTCACAGTAACCTGAAATCCTAGCAAAGGTTTCTTGCTTCTTAGGGAATCCAGAAATGGTGATGTTTCCTTCAATGTAGCCACCGGTTTTCCTTCCAGCAAGCACATCCATAAGAGTAGTTTTACCAGCACCACTCACTCCCATAAGAGCTGTCAGAACACCAGGCCTGAAAGCACCACTAATACCCTTTAGAAGAACCAGTTTGTCTTCAGCAACACCTTGGCCTTTCATTTCCTGGAGAGCAAAGGAAAAGGAAAATGATCGGTTAGTCGTTGTCCCAAAATGACAAGAACGAAGCCTACATGCTTTTTTCTTGCTAGCTGCTTCTCTTTGTACTAACTAACCTCTGGCATGTCAACCGAATATACTATGTCGTCAAAGGTGATGGAATGAGGCTCAAATGGAAGGACCATCCCTTTCTTTTTGCTTCCACCAGCTTCATCATTTGCAGCTGCGGTTATGGATGAACCGCCAGTTGACATCTCTATTGCTCCTCCTGATGTGGTGGCCTCATCTTCAGGTATGACAGCTTGTGGCTTCTCAAACTCTGTCCATTTTAACACATCAAAACATAATTCATGAGCAAATAAGGTTTCTTGCACTAGAAGCATGAACTTGAATAATGAATACTTCTTGAGTGGGGTTACTTACGATCCAAGAAAGTAAGAGCGAAAGCAAAAACAATGTTGAATAGGAATAGGAATCCTAGAGTTGCTCCCACTCCTAACCAATACCAATGTGGCTCTGTGAAGAACCCACGAGACCTCAACACTTGAATTCCAAGTGATTCTGTTGAGCTTGAGTTTGCTGGAACCTAGAATTTGGAAAGGAAAAAAGAGATGAAATTAGTCCAGTAAAGAGTGGAAAAAAGAGGTCTGGAAGGACATCATTAGCTATGTAATTTAAGGTGGGAATAAGGGAATTACATGACTCCAACTGTGTCCGAGAAATTCATTGACTACTATTGCATTCTGCCCATACATCATAGGTGATGCCCAATAAGCCCAAACCCACCATTTCTTTACATCCTCTGTGAAACCAAAACGAAAGGTTAACACCTACGGAATTCCAAAGGACATTTTAAAATGTCAAGTAAGAAATCCAATGTTAACTGATAACAAACCTCGTGACAGAATGAATCCACTCAGTGCAAAGAGAAGAAGCAAAACAAATGAGCCAAAGGTGTTGGCAACGATCATGTTCCTTCCAGTTGCAGCAATGAATCGAAAGAGAGCAGAAGCCATCTGATTAATTGCTACCAGCAGGATATACAACCTAATCAACCTGCATTATCATATCAATGTTATAGTGCACGGTTTGTTTAGGAAGAAATTGAGTAATATGGACTAAAACATTGGAAGTAAAATCTTAGCATCCTTTAAATTACCTTCCAAAGTTAGGATCGAATCCAATGACATAGTAAGTCATGAAGACCCAGACAGCAACTTCGAGGAAGGTGACAGGAATCTTCAGGATCCATGGCGGAATGGAGTATATCCATGGTGGGTAGAAAAACAGATTCCTTTGCTTGTAAAAGACCGGAAGCTTTGCGATGGTCATGGAAAGCTCAGCCATTCCGTTGAACATGATCATAATCAGTGTGAAAAAGAGAGCACCCACAAAGATCCCTCCATCCTGGATCGTGTTGCGATGCATCTCAGTCCTGAAGAAGACGGTCATAGCAAGCAGTGCCATGATGAATAGTTGGGTAAGCTTGAAGACATAGACAAATGAGTTCCTCTTCATGAGCAAGAATTCTCTTGCGAAGTTGGCCTTGAGAAGCTCCTTGTTCCCAATTCCATACTTTTTGGTAGCCAAAGCTGCAGGGTGGCTCTTGGTTCTGTCATAAGGAACAGACAAATCATCTTCAATCTTTCTTCCCACGTGGAACGACTGGAAAGCCTCAGCAAACTCCTTCGTTGTAACAAAACGGTATGGTTGATCCCTTCTAGCCCAATACTGCTTCTGATCCTTTTTCGATGTAACCTGAAAAAGAGTCATACTATTAATAACTTGCGACGAAAGGTGGAACTCTGCCAATGCATGTTTTTCTTTCTCTGATACTCACTTCTTGCAAGAAATCAGCAACTCCTTTCCTGTCAGGACACTTGAAACCCATATGCTCGAAGAACTCGATCACATTCTCACGAGGGCCTTGGTACACAATCTGCCCATCTGACACCAGGATGATATCGTCAAAGAGATCGTATGTCTCGGGAGCAGGCTGGAGGAGGGAAATGACTGCAGTGCCATTGAGGATGTGATTTTGCTGCTTCAATGAGTTCACAATCTGAAACGTTGTGGAACTGTCCAAACCGGTAGAGATCTCGTCCATGAACAATGCCCTTGCTGGTCCAACCAGCATTTCACCTGTAGTAACACGCTTTCTTTGTCCTCCAGAGATACCTCTGATCATTTCATCGCCAACTAGTGTGTCTGCACAAACTTCCAGCCCTAAGATCTACACAAAGAAATGGGTGATGAGAAACTGTCTCCAGGTAGATTCATTTTTATAAACCGTTAAAGAGCACTCGTAGTTCACAAACTTAATGTTACCTTCAAAACGTAGTCTGTAACAACATTGCTTTCTAGACCTTCTGTTGCAGCAGCCTAATGGTACCAGACCATGACAAAAGAAAGGACAATTATCAATTATACAGTGGATTTCAAAATAATAAATATATACTAGTGGCGGCTAAATACAAACTGGAATGAATCATCATCATCATCATTTCAACGGATTGAAAGCAACATAAACAAAGCTCAATTGTGGCATTGTATAATAACTATAATGAAGCCGCCTTGACCCACCTTCATGTAGACATCAATATCAGGATCAGGTTTAATATTTGCTGCCTTCTCTCTTCTCGACAACTCAGCCAACATATCTGCAGATTTTCCCCCCCACAGTGATATTGACTTAGCAAGCAGCCATGTTTGAACATCAAAATGAATCCATAATCAAAAGAAGAGAAAGAAAGAACTAACCATGAAGAGATCCAACCCCTTGGACTCTGGCAGCAAAAGCCAAAGTTTCCCTAACAGTCAGCTCACCCATGTGAAGATCATGCTGGCTAATGTAAGCTGAGGTTTTCTGGGGGATGAACTCGTGCATATCGTGACCATTGTAAGTCACTCTCCCTGAGACTTTCAGATTAGGATCCAGCCTTCCAGCCAAAGCTAGCAACAGTGATGTTTTCCCAGAACTTGGAGGACCCAGAAGCAGAGTCATTCTGCCGGGCTTGATGACTCCATTAACATCATTGAGGATGGTCAGATGTCTCTTTTTGTTGGGAAGGAGGTGCAACCCATTCAAGATACCCTGTGAAAGATCGAAGGAAAGGTATTTCATCAGTTTCACGAAACATTAAGCCGAAAAAGCTACAAACTTCCATTGGCATCAGTGATGATCATTTACCGTGAAGATTCCTATAGTGAAGTTGGTGAAGGTGGGCAGAGATTTGCTCCCAACTGTAGCTTCGGCTTCCACATTGAGATGCTCGTATCGGACTTCAATCGTCGGTAGCTCTACTCCAACCCTTCACAAACACCACAAGTCCCAAATTCAGAACAGGAAAATACAGAGGAAATAAGTAAAGAAAAACAGAGGAGCTCCCTTATTCTCTGTCTAGTTACTCTCCTGGTTTCGCAGACAGATTTTATTCTCTATTTTCTTGTTCTACACAATCCTTACTTGATTATTATCAAAGGGTTGTAATAATATGCGAAATTATTTCAGATCACCATTGATAATAGCTGATGTTCATACTCTAAAAAGTAGCTCAGAGAAACCAAAAGACAGAGCACAACGAAGCAAAAGTACAAACCTGTCAATTCTGTTCTTGAGCTTCAACAAGAAACTCTCGTTGTCCTGGTCAGCAACTTTAACAAGGCGGTCGAGGAGAACTTTCCTTTCTTCGACACCAAGATTTTGGATGTCGATCTCGCTGAGCTCAGTCTTGGAAGCGCTGGCCAATATGCCCTTTCTGAGACGATCATAAGTGGGGAGCTTCTCTAGAGCAGCCCACTTCAGGGCTTCTTCATCGTCTTCTTCTCTCGAAGAAGCAGAAAACACATCCGACGGATTGTTTCTCCACACGGAGGCCGATCCGCCTCGCCGGAGACTGTTCCTGGCTTTAAACAGATCGCCACCCTCCATTTCTGGGGCGATGGAGCAATAACAGAAGAAAGAAGATCAAACCCCAAGAACAGCTACAGTGGGAGAAGAGTTGGTTGTTGAAAAGAAAAAATGAGAGAGGGAGAAAGCCCCCAGAAGAATGGGGAGCAGAGGAAATGGAATGGATGAAGGCTTGGGGAAGATGGGTTTGCCTGTTTTTCAGAATGGGAGGGAAATGGAGATGGTTATATACAGGGCAGCTGGGCGGCGGAACGGTCGTGCGTCGTTTCTGATTACTGTTGTGGTGGCTCATTGAATTGTCAAGCTTCTTTTCCCTTGAAAAGTCACCTGCTATTAGTCAATATCTTTTTGTTTATTTTATGGGTTCTTTCCTCCGAAGTATAATTGGCGCAAATTCTGGAAGGCATGTTTTTCTTTTTGCCATGGATCTGGAAGGTCATTGAAGTCTAGTAAATTGGCCAAGTCAATTTGATCGCCCCAATTTCGATTTTTGATTTGTAGTCCAAGTCGTTTAATTTCAAAGGGAGAAGAAAGCAAATGCAAGAGTCTTACGTTAGGGTAATACCCATTTGTTAGGATTCCGGTTTGATAAATTTTTATGGGCTAATTCCACTAGTAAGACCAAATTATTCAATATGACATATATGAAACGAACTATAAGGTTTTAGGTCATTTGTAGCACAACAATATATTGACCGTCAAGTTTAACAGTTGATTTAACGATGGTCAGATGTGTGTTTGATTATAATGACGTGGCGCCTACATGTCTGCCACATAAGTTGTCACGTCATCAACACATCATATTTTTATTTGGAATTAAGTTAAAATTCAAATTCAAATAAAAACGGTAAAAATGAAAATAAAATCAAAAGAAAACTGGGATCGGGCTCTTTCCCCAAACCTGATCGAGAACCCCCCCCCCCCCCCCCCCCCCCCCCCCCGCCATCATCAATCGATCTCAATCGGCTGTCGGAGGCTCTTGGCTGCCGGAGGGTCTAACAAAACCCACGCCACTCCTCTACTTCCCTTCCATGTCTCCCAGCCGCTGAAACCTACAACCATCTAAGCCCCACCGTCCTCCCAGAAACCCACCGCCATCCGAGCCTCTTCCTTCTTTATCCCTAGATAAATAAAAATCAGCGAAGGTCGGCATTGCATGGAGTCGCTCCCTGCTCCTAACAGAGCTGAAGGATTGAGCTGAAGCTTGAAGAAGGAAGGCTACAGAAGAACAGAGTAGAAGACAGGCAGAAACGTTTCATTTCTGCCTTCCGCTCCACCTAACTAAGCAAAGGTTGAAACGGCGACGTAGAGACTAGCACTTACCATTAGGTGGAGACCGAGAGGCCAACCAGACAAACACATGTGGCATTTTCTATTTGTATTAGTTTAAATTACAGTTTAATGGACAAATCATGTTTTATTGTTTGATCACCTTTACTTTCTGAACACTAGTATAAATAGAAAAACGCGAAGCCTAGCAAATTGCGGCTTTCCAATCAATCATTTCTCGCATTCTTCTTCGTCCTCACAACGAGCTGCAACCCTAATAGCTTGGTTTCTCATATGGTATTAGAGAGGTGATCCGCTTTTTTGCGTCAAAACAACCCGATGAACAAAGCAGTTAAAATCGGGATTTTACCTAAAATCGAAAACTGGGGTAAAATCGGAATCGTAAAATCGTAGGATTTTAAGTACCATATAGAACATAACACATAAGAATATTAGTGAGGTAAATCATTAATAACACAAAGACACATAACATTTAAAATGATAATTCTCAAGATTAATGTTCCAAAATTACTATTTAATTGTTATTTAATGTGTAACTCAAAATAATTCATGATGAAGGGATAGAGCTCATGGGATTTCCCTCTTGTTTTCTAGTTGTGTCTATATAGTTTAACTTAAAGTAATATTCCGACATCGTCTACTAAGTATGATTTAAAACTAAAAATAATTAAACTCCAATAAAATAAGTAATGCTAGTGGCTTGGTATAAATATATTTATTAATAAATAAGTTAGTTAATAATAATGTTAATTCTTACATACTTCCAATACTAGGACAATTGTTTTACCAATAAGTTAAATGGGACGAAGGGAAATGGATTAAGAGAGCCCTAATTTGATTATTTTTGTTATTTTTAAATGTTTTTCTAATAGAAAAACATGTGAGAAGATTCATGTCATTGCCCTTTGCGCTGAAATAGTTATGCTTCTTTTAAATTGGCTCAAACCACCTATTTTGTTCTCATACGATCAAAATCCTGATTTTGGTACGATTTTAACGATTTTAATCCCGATTTTAAACGATTTTAAGGTCCACCGATTTTAAACGATTTTAAGGGCCACCGATTTTATTGTAAATTCAGGCTAGGAATCCCTAAGTAAAATCCTAAAATCCTACGATTTTACGATCAAAATCCCGATTTTGACTACATTGCCGATGAATATTTCACCCAGCAGCTTAGTCGATAGTGATGGAGAGATCCCCTTTGGCAGCTTCAACTGCAATGCTCAAAATCAACAAACCCAGCGAGCCCAGCAAACCTAGCCAACTCAGAATGATGAACAAGCTTGGATCTATATTGGTAATCCTAACAACCAAGTGTGTTATGCGTTTGGGAGTCCCTACTATATCAAGCCTAGTGAAAATCTAGGACAATCTAAAGTCTCTGAATTGCTGGATGAACACAATTATCACATGTGACAAAGAGCAATTCGAATGGTTCTCAAAACCAAACATAAGATTGGGTTTATTGATGGTAGCTTGCCTATGTCGGAACGAACTCATCATGAGTTCATTTTGTGGGATGCCTCCAACACCATGGTGCTGTGTTGGATTCTGAATTCAATTGGTAAAGATATACGTCGTAGTGTATTGCAGCATGAAGTCGCACAGACCCTTTGGGATGAACATAAGAAGAAATTTGGCAGCTGCAATGCACTGAGACTTGCTAATTTGAAGGAAGCAATTGATCGTTTTAAGCATGGAAGTCAAACTGCAACCCAGTACTATGTGCACTTGAAAGGGTTATGGGAGGAATACCTCCAGTTCAACCCCATTATTGATTGTGACTATATGATTGCTGGAGTCAGACCTTGTGTAGCTGTTGAAGCATTTAAGGAGAGGCAGGAAACTGAATACCTTATCAAGTTCCTTCGAGAACTAAGGCATGAATTTGATGTGGTGCAAACTCAGCTGTTAATGATGAAGCCATTGCCTGCTGTGGAAGTTGTTGTTGATGACATCCTACAACATGAACATAAGCTTAAATCAGATAAGGGCCACTTTAATAAAAATGTTCCCTCAGTAACACTTGCAGCTCAGGGTGATAAGCAGAAGGGCTTTAGTTCATTTGAGCTTGGTAAAGGTGGAAAGGATGGCACAGAAATGGAGAGCAAGTTCTGCAGATACTGTAAGAAGAATGGACACTTGAAAGAATAGTGTTACAGACTAAAAAACAAGAAGGCCAAGATGGCAGGAGTGAACAACTTTGCTGGTTTAGTTTCTCAGTCAAACCGAGAGAGCAAAGACAATGGTTCTACAGGTAGCAATCTGAGTCTGGATACAAAGAGCAGTCAATAGGGGTGTTCAAACGGTGTGGTTACCATGGTAACCGTTTTAACCAGTACTATTTGGATAATTTGGTTTGGTTAATTTGGATAATTGGTTTGGTTTGGTTATAGTTTTTAGCTTGTTTGGTTTAGGTGGTTTGGTTTGGTTTTAGACACTCCTAACCAGTCAAACCAAATTAACCAGATAAATAATTAGCCATATATCTAATATATACACATACTTAATACTTTGAATAACAACTCAAGAGTTAAACGTTCATCCCTTTTAGACTCATAAAATATAAAGCTTGATATTGTTCCTATAATGTATATTTGTATATGTAGAGTTTAGACCACATTACATATAAATGCCTAATTTATGAGTTGGATGAGTCTGAAAAGGACCTTGCTTTCAAGTTTTACATAAAAAAGAATGCTGCCTATTCTGTCACTCAACATTTGCCACAGTTTTCCAACTTCTCTAGTAAGTTTGTTCTATCCTCACATAACCACTATGGTTGATGGGCCTAACACAAATCTGGATATTAGATACTGGAGCCTCAGATCACAACTGTTGCACACTTTCCCTATTGACTGATGCTAAGCCTACAGTCAACCAATTTGTGTATTTGCCAAATGGTTATAAGGTTCCAATTAGTCATATTGGTACAGTTAGACTACAACCTGGTTTATTCCTTCAAAACGTGCTCATGATCCCTAGCTTTACCTTCAACCTTATTTTTATCAGCAAAATTACCCATGACCTTCCACTCCCCTTACATTTTGAATCTGACTCTTGTCATATTCAGGACCTAGTGACCAAGAAGCATATTGGTTTCGCCAGACATAATAGAGGCCTCTACCAACTTTTCCCCAACATTCCAGCCTTACCACACCATCACACAACAGTCACTTACAACTTCCAACCTCACCAAATTGAGCTATGGCATTAGAGGCTAGGTCACCCTAGTAAAGAAAGAGAGAATCAACTAGTTGGATGTAATAGGTCCATTGTTAGACACTGCAACCTGTCATTTAGCTAAACAAAGAAAGCTCTCCTTTCCTGTTAGCACTAGTAGAGCGCAATCTATTTTTGATTTGATACATGTGGACATTTGGGGACCTCCGGCTGTTAAATCCTATGATGGTTATTCTAGAGATGTTTGGACTTAGTTAATGAAGTCTAAATCTGAAACTCGTCAGATTTTGGAAGCTTTTTGTGTGATGGTTAGCAGGCAGTTTGGCAGATTGGTTAAAGTTATCCGTAGTGACCAGGGGAATGAATTTCACATGGCATAATTTTATTCCACTAATGGAATTGAGCACCAAACATCTTGTGTAGAGACTCCTTAGCAAAATGCTTGAGTCGAAAGAAAGCATCAACATATATTGAATGTTGCCAGGGCTCTTAGATTCCAGATTGGTTTGCCATTAATGTTCTAGAGTGAGTGTATTTTACATGTCGTCCATCTCATAAACAAGATTCCATCCTCTCTTCTATAGGATTTAACTCCATTTGAGCTGTTTTACCAAAAACCACCCACTATCTCTCATCTCAAAGTGTTTGGTTGTCTTTCCTATGCTTCTACCTTGCTTAGGGATAGAACAAATTTCACCCCAGGGCTAGGCAATGTGTCTTCCTGG